CCCTTCAGTCCGACTACAGCAATCACTCTCTTTTTTTACTCTATGGCTCCCAATAGGCAAAAAATTTCACTTATTTTTCCCGTTATTTGTAAAACTGTGCGTCTGATGAAAAAAAAAAATGTATTGTGAGAAAAATTATAAAATATATTCTGAATAAGACTGATTTTTTCGCATATTTGCCATATGTGCAATAGTTTTTGCGCAAACCAGGCCAGATGTAGAGGGCGAGTTAAGAGTGCTGCGAGATTTTTTTTGATATTCAGGCTCAGTTTTCGGTTAATATCTCTCAAACGACAAGTTTCTTTAAGAAAATGTCTAGTTAAAAAATTATGATTCTCATTTATAAGATTTTCTATTTCCTCGTATATATATATAAATTGATTCAGTTCCATTCTAAGAATGAGGTTTAGTCATTAGCGCGTGTTTTTCCCTTAGATATTTCCCCAGAAAGCCTAATCCACTAAATCCTTGTTAATGATGCTATGATTAAAGATTATCATTTTCCTCGTCATCTGTTAAACCGAAGTCATCAGTAGGATCTTCAACTGATTAAGAAATTGTGCAGCTCTGACTGTGGCAGTTTTTACACACTGAAGAACACCGCAAACCAGCTGTTACTTAACCACATCACTTCCCACAGCTTAATTTCCAGAAGCATGAAATAACTTTTAAGATCTTTGATGGAGCATTGCTTTCACTGTATAGGCAACTGGGAGAAAATTTTGATGTCTTTCCTTGGCCCACAACTCGGACTACAATCTCTCTCCTCGCCACGTTTGAACTTGAGAGGTATAAACAAGACTTGGTAGTAACGTAACATGGTTTGAGTGGCTGATAAGTCAGTTAAAAGATATATATCTGTAATGATAGATATGCTGCCCTGCTTTCTACATATAGAACGAGGATGAACTTTTCTCCTGCTGCTCTAAATTCATGAGACAGAGGATTATTGAACTTGAATACACTCATGCCAAAGATTATATTTATTGAGAAGATTGACCATTTTTATATTTTTGCAATTCTCAAACAGGAATATGTGGTATATATGTGGTATCACTGAATGCATGAGCAAAGAAAACTGGCCCTTTGATTTTAATGAAAATAGCGGCGCGTTGTAACTCTCGAGAACTGTACGCTCGGTCTTGAAGGTTTCCTTTTGTTTTCTAGAACTTAATATCTCTGTCTTCTGAACTAAGAGCAAGAAACAGAGTAAGAAGATGCAACTACGACAACCACTGATTGCACTCTGAACAATTAGTTTACCAGCATCATTACTGGCAATCTGAGTCTCAAAATATTTATTCTGAAACTGTTGTTTCATATGCATAATCCGAATCTCCTTCATCTTAGATTATATATAAACTTTTTTTGTATGAATCCCAGTTATAGATGTGTTCTCATCAAATAATGCCAGATGAAAAGAGTCTCCAGATTCGTTGTTGACTCTTAATGGCTTTGGTAGTGATGTGTTATATCTTTCTAACACCGCAAGGCTGAAAAAAAAAACATAAATGACATGCCTATGAACTGTGTCCCAGGCCCGGACTCGCAGAACTCCGTGTTCATCAGCAACTGCAAGAAACCCTCTCATGTGCCTTAAATATCCTATGAATAAAGAGCAAGGACACAAGATCATCCCACAGTCACTAAAAGCAACGAACATAGCCTCACTTAACAGATGTGGTAGTAAAGCAATTGCAAAGGATTATGGGCCATAGCACTAACGTCCACCATCATAAAACAATTTGAAAGTGTTTTTAAGAAGCAAGATCGCTACCCACTTAGATACCCATCAGTTGCCCAACTCAGGGAAGCGAGGGTTCAGAGCAGGTCGCTTCTGCCTGTCCCAGCTTGTGGCCACAATGATATGGTCTTGGATGCTCTGGAGGAGAAACAAAATGCAAATGTAGTATACTCGACTTTGCGAAAGCCTTCGACAGGTGCGTTCCTGGTGTAATACCACACATAATGCGTGATAAAGGAATAACTGAGATGGTTACAAGATGACTAGAACCCCAAATATGGTTTGACAGAATGCAGTTTATTGTAAACCAACTCTAACCATAATTATTACTAACGGTTGCGAAGTTGTTTAAAGACTACTGAAAAATAGTCCGAGAATATACATACATAATGAGGTCGTGAACTGAGCGGCCCAGTCTGCCTGCTGGTTGCCCGGGATATCTACTCGTCCAGCGGCCAACAAGAAAACGACATCTTTGTTTTTACTAGAAATACGGCTTAACCATTGTTGAATATGTAGAACGACGGGATGAGGGGAATTAAATTTCTGGATAGCCTGAAATTACTACAAATCTTGGGATAGACATTAATACAATACGCATAGGACTATGAAAATTGCATACAACTCGGCTGTTAAAATACTGGCTGAGTCTTGTAAATGATCTAGTATAACAATGTCCGGAAAAACTGCTGCATATCCGACACCTTCAGATGTTTTAGAGCTAACAGTGTAACCCGCAATGGAATGAGAATTAGATTAGAAGATCATAAGAAAGAGTGAGCGTGATGCTATAGTGTGCAATTGAGCTTTGACACAACGAAGCGGGTAATAACTGAAACGAATATTCGGAACTTCCCAAGGAAAGAGAAAAATAATACGCTAGATGGACATACAGAAGTAAATTAAATAAAACCAAAATGAAACGAAGAGAAAAGGTTATAGTAAAGAGGGACAGCGATCAAACAGAGGAGGTCTACTAACATCTGTTACCATCCTGTTTGTAAAGGATCATGAAGGTCATAAGGACAAAATAAGGTAGACAATGGACATCACGCCCATCTTGCAAAGAGGCTCTCAACCGAGGAGGTACGAAAAGTACCTAGACACAAATGCAAAGCTTGATGACGAATAGAATCAATTTAGATAAGATTAAAGAGAAATATAGACGAAGAAGAGTTAATTTATCAGTCCCCCCAAAAGTGATGGGCAGGAGATTTCAGGAGGCTCAGCTGGTTATAGCAAGCTGCTTTCAGAGCGGTTGTGAAGTTTACAGAACATCCGACAATCAAACGTAATGCCGAAAAACTTGACTGTATCTCGTTCAGGAGTACATGAGCCATACAGGTATAAGGTGATATTAGGGACAACACGGCGTCTTGTAAAAGTAATCTGTTGTGTTTTAGTAACAGAAAATTGAAACCCACCATAGGTGGCGTAGTGGGAAACACGGTCGTTACTAAATAACAAAAAAGGCACAATACCGTGACTGGAACGATACACAAATAACCCGCACATAGAAGAGAGGAGCTTACGACGACGTTTCTCAGAGAACTATATTTAAAGGGGTGGAAGTAATATTGAAGGATCAACTATGGAAGAATTGGCATAGGTGCTTAATTTTAAGAGTTATAAAACTGGGATAAGGGAAATGGGTTAAAGAAAGTATATTTGCTCCTGTGGAAGAGGTGTTAAGCAGAGAGAAATTTTGTGAGGTTCTAAAGGAATGTTTATTGAGTTCAGAAAAATGAAGAAAAAAATTGTTGTGGGGACTTAAATGATAAAGTAGGAGAGAGCATAGATAGTAAATTTAGAAAGCTAGTAATAAAAACTAAAATGGGGTCTCCAATTGATTATATATAGAAAGAGGTTTGGCAATATGTTTTTAAAGAAAAAGAAGATAAATAAGCATACGAGTCACGATATTTGGCTTTATGACGACAGTTCAGAGGAAACTAGAGATATATCAAATAATTATTAATTGGTAGATATAATGCAAGTATGAGGTAGATGAGGTACAAGAAGTGTGTCATCAGTGATAAGAGAAGTAAAAATTAATAAATTAATGGAGATAGAAATTTAGAGTGAGATATAAGCAACTACATGGAGAAAGGTGGGATAGAGAGAGAACAGACAATGAGGACGGGGTCATTGGTGATATACGGAAGGAGGAATATATGCAGAGTAAAATGAAAGGAATGCATAAAGTGGGGAAATGGGAGAGTGACTGAGGTACTGAGAAGATAGAGAGAATATAATGAAAAAGTATTTAATGTTGATAAAGAAAGAGAGGCAGTGATTTCATGCATTGGGTGTGATAAAGTGCTTTGTCTGTAGAGACAAAGCACTTTAACGATTGAGGCAAAATGGAAAAGAATCAGAGTATAGTGGTGCTAACACCACTACTTAGGAAAGAAACATGGAGGAGGAGGAGGAGGCTGGAGGCAGCGAAGATGACGTGTTTGAAAGCAGTGTGTGATGTGAATATTATGTAGATATATTAGAAGAAGGTACAGGGTTACCTAAAGTATTATTTAAAAGGCTGAGAAGTTATCTGGACATTTAGAGAGAATAGGGTAAATATTCTGCGTGACTAAGAAAGCAAATAAATTTCAAAGAAACAGGTTAGCCAAATTTTCGTACTGTAGCTGGGAATTAAAATGCCTGCACTCTGAAGTATGGATGAGGATATTGAAGCTCAGAGGATCATCTGATATCCGATGTCAACACTCCTCTGTCAAAACAGTGATCGTATGAATGACGGAAAGTGTTTCTTCTCTTTCAGGTCACTACTTCGGTGGAAGAAGTCTGGTATATTAAAATAATTAAGAGATTTCCAATATTTCAGACGTTCTCGTTGATGTAATATTTAAAATATTTGTTTTATATTAATATATTTAAAAAAACATTACTAAACTGATGTATTTAAGGCGTGTTTGAAATGAAAAATTTATCTCTTCCCACAAGTTCCTCGGCAGTTTTGCTTTCCTCTTCTCTTGTGTGATTTACCTTATTGTTCACAGAAGCTTCAGCTCCTATATTCTCAACAAAATATATGTTAATTATTTTGTAATTCTTGAAGCCTGTTGTCTAGGTATCTAAAAGTCGCATCTCTGCTGTAAACTTCAGAAATTCTTTAAAAATTTAAATAGAAACTTAAATTATGTATATAAAGAGAAGAGCACATTTCTCACTGCATATATACTCTTGATGTTTAAGATTTGTTGTGATCTATTACTTATACAGTTGTAATGTTCAGGTGGTTGTTGCTGGATAATTACGACCCGGTAGGGGAGCTACAGTGGCTCATGAATACCCTTGATCTAGCCGAGTCTTCTGGTGAGCTGGTCCATATTTTGGGTCATATTCCTCCTGGCAGCGGTGACTGTGATCGCACCTGGAGTCACGTCTTTAATCAAATTATTGCCAGGTACGAAAAAACTTTGATCATATAAGTATCCCGTTACAGAATATAGGCACATGCTTTATTAAATCAGTCACTAATAGTCTAAATAAGCCTTTATTTAAAAAGACGGTTTGTTCAGTGATAACTTTATTAAGGTATTTAATAAAGTTCACACTGAAAGAAAACTTGTCTGTAATAAAATCTTTTTCATTCATATCTCACTAATTTACAACTTGAGGACTTACTGCCCAGCTTCACTGTACAATCTTTTTTTTTTTAAATATATATATTTTTGGATAGTTGACTAGATTCCCTGTTACTGATTAAACCAAATATATTTCGGTCGTTGCACGAGCCAAGAGAGAGAGAGAGATCCCGTATTTCATAATTTCTGAGCCAGTTAGAATTTATGATATGATAATCAGTATTTAAATTTTTCCAGTTTTTTCTATATAAAAAAGGCAAACTGGGACGAAAACAAACCAAAATATATTCAGTTTTTCCTCTGAGAAAGTTTTACTGGCTGTTAAGGTTTAAGTATGCATGTAAGTAATTAAATAAGATTTATTAAATGAACATTACGTAGATTTCACCTAGCATAACCCATTAAAGTGTTTTAATTGTGTTCAGAAGAGATTTTCTCTAGTAATTACGCAGAAACCAGTTTGATTAATAAACCTGACCTACTAAAACTTACATGAGAGAAGCTTCCTTTGGAGAAAACTCATCTGTACCTGAAGTTTAAAACAGACCAGAATAGGTGTTCTTCAGTCATTGTACAGAACCTAACGACATCTGCACCGTCATTGTACAGAACCTAACGACATCTGCACCGTCATTGTACAGAACCTAGCGACATCTGCACCGTCATTGTACAGAACCTAACGACATGTGCACCGTCATTGTACAGAACCTAACGACATCTGCACCGTCATTGTACAGAACCTAACGACATGTGCACCGTCATTGTACAGAACCTAACGACATCTGCACCGTCATTGTACAGAACCTAACGACATCTGCACCGTCATTGTACAGAACCTAACGACATCTGCACCGTCATTGTACAGAACCTAACGACATCTGCACCGTCATTGTACAGAACCTAACGACATGTGCACCGTCATTGTACAGAACCTAACGACATGTGCACCGTCATTGTACAGAACCTAACGACATCTGCACCGTCATTGTACAGAACCTAACGACATCTGCACCGTCATTGTACAGAACCTAACGACATCTGCACCGTCATTGTACAGAACCTAACGACATCTGCACCGTCATTGTACAGAACCTAACGACATCTGCACCGTCATTGTACAGAACCTAACGACATCTGCACCGTCATTGTACAGAACCTAACGACATCTGCACCGTCATTGTACAGAACCTAACGACATGTGCACCGTCATTGTACAGAACCTAACGACATCTGCACCGTCATTGTACAGAACCTAACGACATCTGCACCGTCATTGTACAGAACCTAACGACATCTGCACCGTCATTGTACAGAACCTAACGACATGTGCACCGTCATTGTACAGAACCTAACGACATGTGCACCGTCATTGTACAGAACCTAACGACATCTGCACCGTCATTGTACAGAACCTAACGACATCTGCACCGTCATTGTACAGAACCTAACGACATCTGCACCGTCATTGTACAGAACCTAACGACATGTGCACCGTCATTGTACAGAACCTAACGACATCTGCACCGTCATTGTACAGAACCTAACGACATCTGCACCGTCATTGTACAGAACCTAACGACATCTGCACCGTCATTGTACAGAACCTAACGACATCTGCACCGTCATTGTACAGAACCTAACGACATGTGCACCGTCATTGTACAGAACCTAACGACATGTGCACCGTCATTGTACAGAACCTAACGACATGTGCACCGTCATTGTACAGAACCTAACGACATCTGCACCGTCATTGTACAGAACCTAACGACATCTGCACCGTCATTGTACAGAACCTAACGACATCTGCACCGTCATTGTACAGAACCTAACGACATGTGCACCGTCATTGTACAGAACCTAACGACATCTGCACCGTCATTGTACAGAACCTAACGACATGTGCACCGTCATTGTACAGAACCTAACGACATGTGCACCGTCATTGTACAGAACCTAACGACATGTGCACCGTCATTGTACAGAACCTAACGACATCTGCACCGTCATTGTACAGAACCTAACGACATCTGCACCGTCATTGTACAGAACCTAACGACATCTGCACCGTCATTGTACAGAACCTAACGACATCTGCACCGTCATTGTACAGAACCTAACGACATCTGCACCGTCATTGTACAGAACCTAACGACATCTGCACCGTCATTGTACAGAACCTAACGACATGTGCACCGTCATTGTACAGAACCTAACGACATCTGCACCGTCATTGTACAGAACCTAACGACATCTGTACCGTCATTGTACAGAACCTAACGACATCTGCACCGTCATTGTACAGAACCTAACGACATCTGCACAGTCCTTGTACAGAACCTAACGACATCTGCACCGTCATTGTACAGAACCTAACGACATCTGCACAGTCCTTGTACAGAACCTAACGACATCTGCACCTATAAAGCCTAAGGGCAAGAAATTTTCTTCCAGTTTATAAAATAAATCAACGCTAAACCATTAGGAATGGTGCCTGAGAATGTAAAGTGTCACGTAGCTAGTTCACTAGCGCACTCACCTCACAACCTGAGGTCCGGGGATCGAATCCCCGGTACGGCTGGAAAACACTAGGAACTGTTTCCATAAGACACCTGCTATCCCTCTTCCTCCATCTGTAAAATGGGTACCTGGGTGTTAGTCGACTGGTGTGGGTCGCGTCCCTGGACAAACTTGACCCAATTTGCCCGTAATGTTCTGCATAACACGAGGCTTTCTATACAGTAGTATGTTAGTAATGTCAGCTAGTCCTGTATACCTTGTACTTGTACTTGTAAAAATAAAGATATTCAAATTCGATCCAAGGAAGGGAAGGATAAGTGTAGTTCCTTGGATTAAAAGCCCCACATCATCAAAGCAAAATAATGCATTAATGTTAAATAATACTATAGCATAAACACTACAAAGCTTCTAAGTTGGGTACACGAGTGTTGAAGTTATGATGGCGATCGTAGGTGTTCCCCAAGTATCACATGGAGACGAAAAATGGTAATATTCTATGTAACATTATTCATGACGCACCAACGAATGCAAAGAGTTTTATGAATCTTCCAATGGATATTGTTCACTAAATATGAAAATTTTAAGCTGAATTAATAAGGTATTCTTGAGCTAAAAACGAGAATTTTGGAAAAGGAAGAGAAAAAAGTTGCAGAAAATTTTCCTAAAGTGGGAAACCATATTATTCACAGGTATATAAAAAATACAAACGCGAATATTTTCTTTTTTCTCTTAACGTTTACATTCTATTTCAAATTCTCGACACTCCTGTGAAAAAAAAACCAATATACTTCAAGGAACTGCATTCTGAAACTTTTATTTAGTAGGATTAATTGGAACTTACGCATCAAAAAAACGTGCACAAGCGCAAACATTTAACATACACAAGAGTTTTACGACTCTCTAACCTCTACTTCATATCCCGACCGCGGATTTTTTTTTTTTATGCGCAAAAGGTTTTGAAGCCGATGGGAAATATTTAATAAAATTTGCAAAATTCAAAGCGAACGGCAAACTTTTTCTTCCAATGAATTCCACCATCAGAGTCATTTTGCACTAAATGATCAGATTCACCTACTCATACTAAATTTATGAGGAATCATCCTTAGAAAATACAAAACGTTTTGAAGCGTACTGAAAGACCCATTGTTCTGTCACTTAAAAAAAATAAAAATCTATTTAATCAAGGTTAGGTTAGGTAAGGTTCGTCAGGAAACAGGACCAATGTTTCCTGACGCGGGACTTAGTCAGATGATGACCCGCCTTTGGAGCTTTTGGTCATCTGACCGAAGCCTTCCGCTGGCTTACCGGTAAACCCTTTTAAAAATTATGGTCATTTATAACCAGTCTAATTTTTTTATTATCTATTTGTTCAATAATATTGAAAGATTGGAACTTATGGTACCCAGTAACAGCATGACGCTGCGGGCAGGAACTACACATGTGGTACCCAGTAACAGCATGACGCTGCGGGCAGGAACTACACATGTGGTACCCAGTAACAGCATGACGCTGTGGTCAGGAACTACACATGTGGTACCCAGTAACAGCATGACGCTGCAGTCAGGAACTACACATGTGGTACCCAGTAACAGCGTGACGCTGCGGGCAGGAACTACACATGTGGTACCCAGTAACAGCATGACGCTGCGGTCAGGAACTACACATGTGGTACCCAGTAACAGCATGACGCTGCGGTCAGGAACTACACATGTGGTACCCAGTAACAGCGTGACGCTGCGGTCAGGAACTACACATGTGGTACCCAGTAACAGCATGACGCTGCGGTCAGGAACTACACATGTGGTACCCAGTAACAGCGTGATGCTGCGGTCAGGAACTACACATGTGGTACCCAGTAACAGCATGACGCTGCGGGCAGGAACTACACATGTGGTACCCAGTAACAGCATGATGCTGCGGTCAGGAACTACACATGTGGTACCCAGTAACAGCATGACGCTGCGGGCAGGAACTACACATGTGGTACCCAGTAACAGCATGACGCTGCGGTCAGGAACTACACATGTGGTACCCAGTAACAGCATGACGCTGCGGTCAGGAACTACACATGTGGTACCCAGTAACAGCATGACGCTGCGGTCAGGAACTACACATGTGGTACCCAGTAACAGCATGACGCTGCGGTCAGGAACTACACATGTCGTACCCAGTAACAGCATGACGCTGCGGGCAGGAACTACACATGTGGTACCCAGTAACAGCATGACGCTGCGGTCAGGAACTACACATGTGGTACCCAGTAACAGCATGACGCTGCGGTCAGGAACTACACATGTGGTACCCAGTAACAGCATGACGCTGCGGTCAGGAACTATACATGTGGTACCCAGTAACAGCATGACGCTGCGGTCAGGAACTACACATGTGGTACCAAGTAACAGCATGACGCTGCGGTCAGGAACTACACATGTGGTACCCAGTAACAGCATGACGCTGCGGTCAGGAACTACACATGTGGTACCCAGTAACAGCATGACGCTGCGGTCAGGAACTACACATGTGGTACCCAGTAACAGCATGACGCTGCGGTCAGGAACTACACATGTGGTACCCAGTAACAGCATGACGCTGCGGGCAGGAACTACACATGTGGTACCCAGTAACAGCGTGACGCTGCGGTCAGGAACTACACATGTGGTACCCAGTAACAGCATGACGCTGCGGTCAGGAACTACACATGTGGTACCCAGTAACAGCATGACGCTGCGGTCAGGAACTACACATGTGGTACCCAGTAACAGCATGACGCTGCGGTCAGGAACTACACATGTGGTACCCAGTAACAGCATGACGCTGCGGTCAGGAACTACACATGTGGTACCCAGTAACAGCATGACGCTGCGGTCAGGAACTACACATGTGGTACCCAGTAACAGCATGACGCTGCGGGCAGGAACTACACATGTGGTACCCAGTAACAGCATGACGCTGCGGTCAGGAACTACACATGTGGTACCCAGTAACAGCATGACGCTGCGGGCAGGAACTACACATGTGGTACCCAGTAACAGCATGACGCTGCGGTCAGGAACTACACATGTGGTACCCAGTAACAGCATGACGCTGCGGGCAGGAACTACACATGTGGTACCCAGTAACAGCATGACGCTGCGGGCAGGAACTACACATGTGGTACCCAGTAACAGCATGACGCTGCGGGCAGGAACTACACATGTGGTACCCAGTAACAGCATGACGCTGCGGTCAGGAACTACACATGTGGTACCCAGTAACAGCATGACGCTGCGGTCAGGAACTACACATGTGGTACCCAGTAACAGCATGACGCTGCGGGCAGGAACTACACATGTGGTACCCAGTAACAGCATGACGCTGCGGGCAGGAACTACACATGTGGTACCCAGTAACAGCATGACGCTGCGGGCAGAAACTACACATGTGGTACCCAGTAACAGCATGACGCTGCGGGCAGGAACTACACATGTGGTACCCAGTAACAGCATGACGCTGCAGGCAGGAACTACACATGTGGTACCCAGTAACAGCATGACGCTGCGGGCAGGAACTACACATGTGGTACCCAGTAACAGCATGACGCTGCGGGCAGGAACTACACATGTGGTACCCAGTAACAGCATGACGCTGCGGTCAGGAACTACACATGTGGTACCCAGTAACAGCATGACGCTGCGGTCAGGAACTACACATGTGGTACCCAGTAACAGCATGACGCTGCGGTCAGGAACTACACATGTGGTACCCAGTAACAGCATGACGCTGCGGGCAGGAACTACACATGTGGTACCCAGTAACAGCGTGACGCTGCGGTCAGGAACTACACATGTGGTACCCAGTAACAGCATGACGCTGCGGTCAGGAACTACACATGTGGTACCCAGTAACAGCATGACGCTGCGGGCAGGAACTACACATGTGGTACCCAGTAACAGCATGACGCTGCGGTCAGGAACTACAATGTGGTACCCAGTAACAGCATGACGCTGCGGTCAGGAACTACACATGTGGTACCCAGTAACAGCATGACGCTGCGGGCAGGAACTACACATGTGGTACCCAGTAACAGCATGACGCTGCGGTCAGGAACTACACATGTGGTACCCAGTAACAGCATGACGCTGCGGTCAGGAACTACACATGTGGTACCCAGTAACAGCATGACGCTGCGGTCAGGAACTACACATGTGGTACCCAGTAACAGCATGACGCTGCGGGCAGGAACTACACATGTGGTACCCAGTAACAGCATGACGCTGCGGGCAGGAACTACACATGTGGTACCCAGTAACAGCATGACGCTGCGGTCAGGAACTACACATGTGGTACCCAGTAACAGCATGACGCTGCGGGCAGGAACTACACATGTGGTACCCAGTAACAGCATGACGCTGCGGTCAGGAACTACACATGTGGTACCCAGTAACAGCATGACGCTGCGGTCAGGAACTACACATGTGGTACCCAGTAACAGCATGACGCTGCGGTCAGGAACTACACATGTGGTACCCAGTAACAGCATGACGCTGCGGTCAGGAACTACACATGTGGTACCCAGTAACAGCATGACGCTGCGGTCAGGAACTACACATGTGGTACCCAGTAACAGCGTGACGCTGCGGGCAGGAACTACACATGTGGTACCCAGTAACAGCATGACGCTGCGGTCAGGAACTACACATGTGGTACCCAGTAACAGCATGACGCTGCGGTCAGGAACTACACATGTGGTACCCAGTAACAGCATGACGCTGCGGTCAGGAACTACACATGTGGTACCCAGTAACAGCATGACGCTGCGGTCAGGAACTACACAAGTGGTACCCAGTAACAGCATGACGCTGCGGTCAGGAACTACACATGTGGTACCCAGTAACAGCATGACGCTGCGGTCAGGAACTACACATGTGGTACCCAGTAACAGCATGACGCTGCGGTCAGGAACTACACATGTGGTACCCAGTAACAGCATGACGCTGCGGTCAGGAACTACACATGTCGTACCCAGTAACAGCACGACGCTGCGGTCAGGAACTACACATGTGGTACCCAGTAACAGCATGACGCTGCGGGCAGGAACTACACATGTGGTACCCAGTAACAGCATGACGCTGCGGGCAGGAACTACACATGTGGTACCCAGTAACACCGTGACGCTGCGGTCAGGAACTACACATGTGGTACCCAGTAACACCGTAACGCTGCGGTCAGGAACTACACATGTGGTACCCAGTAACACCGTAACGCTGCGGGCAGGAACTACACATGTGGTACCCAGTAACAGCATGACGCTGCGGGCAGGAACTACACATGTGGTACCCAGTAACAGCATGATGCTGCGGACAGGAACTACACATGTGGTACCCAGTAACAGCATGACGCTGCGGTCAGGAACTACACATGTGGTACCCAGTAACAGCATGACGCTGCGGTCAGGAACTACACATGTGGTACCCAGTAACAGCATGACGCTGCGGACAGGAACTACACATGTTGTACCCAGTAACACCGTAACGCTGCGGTCAGGAACTACACATGTGGTACCCAGTAACACCGTAACGCTGCGGGCAGGAACTACACATGTGGTACCCAGTAACAGCATGACGCTGCGGGCAGGAACTACACATGTGGTACCCAGTAACAGCATGACGCTGCGGACAGGAACTACACATGTGGTAAAAATTTGAAGCTGATTAGAAATTTTTCTCCAGCAAAAGCACAGATTTCAATGTTTATATATTTTTCAATACTAATTATAATTAGTAGTGAAAAATTAGCTTAAATAATAATTATTAATTAAGCTAACAAATTTGCCACAACACAAACAAAACATAATAAGTACTGTACTATCTTAGCAATAAGATGCATCAGCCATTATATACAAAAGTCATTCAAAGCAGATTAACTTGACCGTTCACAATTTTTCACAAAAAAAAACTGTACCTAGACGCTTGAATATTACTTCGGTTTTCTTTGAATTATGGGGGGGAATTTTTTTAACGTTTAAAGCTACGCCACTAAACGTTTCGGAATTTATAGGAGCCATTATAGTGTGCAGGTTATGGGTTTAATAATTTTGATCACAATCATGTGCACTTGCAAATTGTTCCAAAAATCTGTTTCCGCTTACCATACATATGCATTGAAAATTTGAAGGCCATTGGATGAGGACTTCTCGCGTTATGAATGACATAAAACGAAAAGTTGAAGGACGGAACAAATAGAAAAAAAACGAAAGGAAACTTAAGGCAACCATTTAAAGATTCTCCTTCTGGTTTAATGAATAAGGTACAATATTACTAATATTTCCCTTCCTTTTCCAGCATATTCTTATTAATGACAGTGTCTAAAAGGAATTATATTTTAATGTTTTAACGAACGTATTTATCATATTTCAAGGTTATTGAAGTAAGACTGAGGATACACTCATGTCTGTCCAAGATGATCTTACACTAATGTACTGCACAGATGCCCTTACTCTCATGTACTGCACAGATGCTCTTACTCTCATGTACTGCACAGATGCTCTTACTCTCATGTACTGCACAGATGCTCTTACTCTCATGTACTGCACAGATGCTCTTACTCTCATGTACTGCACAGATGCTCTTACTCTCATGTACTGCACAGATGCTCTTACTCTCATGTACTGCACAGATGCTCTTACTCTCATGTACTGCACAGATGCTCTTACTCTCATGTACTGCACAGATGCTCTTACTCTCATGTACTGCACAGATGTTCTTACACATTGATTTAATTACACTTGTTTGATAACGATACCTTTGCATTCATGTGTGCCTAAGATTATTCAGTTTCTGCCCTCTCATTAATGTACTATAATTGAAAGTCTGAATAAAAGAAATCTTGCGTGTTTCTTAACATTTTTTGTATATATTGGACGAATATTAAGTTGGAATAATTACAGCATTAATTTTGAGATTTTTCTCTCTCGAATTCCTGTTGACAGATATGAGTCAACAATTCGAGCAATATTTTTAGGACACACACATGGCGACTCTTTACAAGTTTATTATGATCCAGACGACAACACTCGACCCGTCGCTGCAGCATTTATCACTCCTGCAGGTACCAAATAATTAGGATTATTCTTTATAGCATAATTAATTTCAGTATAAATGCTTAATTCAGTGAACCTCTATGTAGAGTACCAATAAAATTTCTTTTCAATTATGTGGATTACATATATATATATATATATATATATATATATATATATATATATATATATATATATTATTTTTTATTTTTTTTATTATCACACCGGCCGATTCCCACCAAGGCAGGGTGGCCCGAAAAAGAAAAACTTTCACCATCATTCACTCCATCACTGTCTTGCCAGAAGGGTGCTTTACACTACAGTTTTTATATATATATATATATATATATATATATATATATATATATATATATATATATATATATATATATATTCGATTGGGACAGGACAGTCGGTTACTAGACAACTGTGTCTCGGTCAAATGCCTCACGGTCACTGGCATCCCTGGACATTTGCGTCTTTTTTTTTTTATGTCCCAGGCATTTGTGTTCCAATATATATAAAACCTGTAGAACCAAGCAAAGAAGCGTGTGTACTGTGCTCAACTCACAAGGAGAATGAGGTTGGTCGGTGGAGGTTAGGGTAGGTTGAGAACTCCTCCACCCGCTCACATACCACCTTCCCTGAGAAGGGAGGGGGGTTGTATATAAATATTATTATTCTTATAATCAAAGAAAGCGCTAAACCGACAAGGGTCATACATCGCTGCAGGGCAGAAAATATTGCTGCAGCTATAAACAGCTAGGTGGAGAGTGGATCAGAGGTGAGGGGAGAAAAAGGGTGGAAGGGACACTAAGGGTTATGTGTCAAAGTTTGCATAGTAAAGCAGTTGCTGACAAAAAGTTAAAAAGTGATTGTAAGTCAAAGGCAGGACCTTCTGTAAGAAGGGAAGATAAGGTAAGATTGGTAGGGTGACGGCGTCGTTGGAGATAAATCCTGTAAGTTCGCTGGCAAACCGATCAATTGACAAGAAAGTGAAGAACCGAAATAGGGACCCGACAAACCTCACAGAGAGGAATAGGGCATCGTTCCATGAGATACCCATTGGTAAGGCGCATATGGCCAATGCGAAGCTGGGAGAGTGGAGTCTCCCGAGAACGGCAACGGTGGTAAGAAGATAGCCACAAACCTAAAAGCAGTTTAACAGAGCGCAATTTGTTATGGTACATGCCCTACCACCGTTGTTGCCAATGGCCGTGGAGATGGCAGAGATGACTGGAAAATAATATCTGAACGGAATACTTCTATAGGAAACCGGAAGCTCGTGTACTGCTGACCACGCAGGAGCATCAGCTTGTTCATTGCCCTGCACATTAACGTGTCCAGGGACCCAAGAGAAAACGACATCTTTGTTTTTGCTAGCCACACGGAGCAACCATAGTTGAATACGATGGACTAATAGATGAGGAGAGTCGTACTTTTTAATGGCTTGTAAGGCACTGAGGGATTCTGAAATGACCACAAACGTCGTAGGAGACATATATGTAATAAAAAGAAGCGCTATGAAGATGGCATACAACTTGGCAGTAAAAATACTAGCTGAGTCTAATAAATGTCCTTGGACACCGTCAGGGAACACTGCTGCGTACCCAACACCATCAGAAGATTTAGAACCATCTGTATAAACAGCAACGGCATGAGCATACGACCGTAAGTGATCTAGAAAAAAAGAGCGAGAAGCAGTCATAGGAAGGAGAGCTTTGGCGCAGGGTAGTAAGGGAGAACAGACATGAACCCTCGGAACCTCCCATGGGGTAAGGGAAAAGGCAGATGCTAAATGAACATACAAGGGAAGCAAGTGGAGAGAAAACCAGAATGAGTGAAGACGAAGAGAAAAAATTGGAGTAAGCAGGGGCGTTGAACAAATAATGGGCTTTTACTAATGTCTGAGACCAACCTATAAATAGACGGAACATGAAAGTCATGAGAGCAGACAAAATAATGAAGGCAATGAGCATCATGACGATCAGCTAAGGAAGGGAAATTCGCCTCAGCATAGAGGTTTCAGCAATGGATGAACGAAAGGCACCAAGGCATAAACGTAGACCCTGATGATGTAACAGAAGCTGCAGAATAGACTTGGTCGCCATAATCCAGCTTGGACAAGACTAGGGTGGAATGCAAACGGAGGAGAGTCCGGCGCTCTGAACCCCACGAACGATGCGCAAGAATTTTCAGGAGATTCAGCCGATCATGGCAAACAGCCTTCAAAGAGGAAATGTGAGGTGTCCATGTCAACCGGCGATCGAAGAGATGGCCAAGAAACTTGACCGCATCACATTCTTGAATACGTGAGCCATGTAAATACAATGGAACATTTGGGACAAAAGGACGTCTAGTGAAGGTAATGAAAGGGGTTTTTGTACTAGAAAATTTAAATCCATAAGAAGTGGCCAATAAGAAACCCGGTCAATTGAATCCTGAAGGTAGGCTGCTACCAGACGACAGTCAGCGCCTGCGTATGGTATGTAGAAGTCATCCACAAAGTGATGACCAAATATGCGATGGAAGAACGGAAGGTACGGCATTTCTAGCCAAGAGAAAAAGGGTAGAGCTAAGGACACAACCTTGTGGGACACCGTCGGCCTGAACAATGTCTGACGAAAGCGAGGCACCAATTCGGACACGAAAATGTCTGTCAGATAAGAATGTAGTAAGGGAAGTTGGCAGATTACAGCGGAGGCCTAAAGAGTGGGCTTGGTCTCAAATGTTATACCTCCAAGTGGTGTCATATGCCTTCTCAACATCAAGAAAGACTGCTAAGATGGAGTGTTAGTTAGCATAGGCATTTCACACATACATATCTAAGTGGAGCAAGGGGCCCAAACTAGAGCGCCCCTAGCGAAAACCATGATAGTTAAGAGAAAGACTACTGTGAGTCTCCAAATACCATATCAGAAAGTCTATTCACCAATCGTTCCATCACCTTGCAGACTACACTGGTTAGAGCAATGGAACGATAGTGTGAGGTGTCAAGCCCCGAAACGGTAGGTCAGTGGCAGATTTCCATTGTCGAGGGAGAACCCCTCGCATCCAAATAAGATTGAAACAAAGCAAAAGGACTGTAAGGGCAGTAGAATGCAGATGTTTTGGCATACTGATATGAATATCATCAGGCCCAGCTCCTGATGACTGACAGGAGGAAAGTGTGGACTCACGCTCTAGGAGAGTGAAAGGTAAGTTAAGTGACTCCATTCCATTAGAGGAGAAATCCAAGGGCAATTGATCCTTGGTAGACTTAGTCGCAAGACATGAGGGACAAAGGTGAAGCCCTTGGGAGACAGACAAGGTTCCCGAGTTCTGTGGCAACTTCAAGAGGTCCCATAACACTGACACCAGCAACGCACGAAACGGGAGCTGGGTCCGAGGTGTACTCACCACACAACTTCCCTACCTTCTTCAAAACTGCACACACAGGGGAAGACGAGGTAATGGTAGACACGTAGTCTTGCGTAGCGTTGCGTATGACGCGGCAAGCAACTGCCCTTGCCAGCTTAAAATCCAAGAGACGATCTGAGGTTAAATTATATCGATAACAGCTGCACGCAGCACATTTCAAACGAACTGCACGGGCACATGCAGGAGACCACCAAGGCATGCATGTCAGGGAATGCCTGCCTGAAAAAGTGGTAAGATGAGAGTATAAGTCCCAATTCGCTCGTGCAAATTGCCAATGAGGGCTACGAGGCAGTCGTGGAAATCCGGGAGAACAGACCAAGTGTAATCGAGTGCAATTGACGAGGAGCAGAGAAAAAGATCAATGCAAGAAAGAGACTGAGTGTGATAGTCAAAAGGGGTAGGAGCACCCGTATTTAAAACATGAAGAGAATGAGAAGAAAGAAGGGTCTCCAACTGATGACCATAAATCACAGTGGGACCCTCCCTACAGAAGATGGTAAGTGTTAAAATCACCCAACAACAAGATGGGTAGCAGAAGAGAAGAAATTAAAAACGCAATATCTGAGATACAGAATGCACAGGAGGGAGAAAGATAGAGAGAGCAGATGGTATATCTGTGTAAATAAATACGAGCTGAAGTATAATGCAACAGAGAACGAACAAAAACTTGTTGATACGGTATACCAAAGCACACAAGAAGCGAGCTTTCATTAAATGTTTCGACAAGAAAAGGATCCGAAGAATGTAACAGAACATAGCCCGAGACGGGGCGAATGATAGCAAAATGAATTTTGGACTCTTGTAACTCAACACATAACGGGGACAACCGGGAGAGCAACATTTGGAGTTCTCCCCGGTTGTCCCTGTGGCCACGAATATTCCATTGTAAAAAAGATATTATGTACAGAAATAAAAATGACAACAATAAAGTCAACGTGTGGGGTTAAACGGTAAGCGTGTAAGCAACGAGGAATCAGAATGCTGTGAAGGAAAAGATTGTTGTGAGGGTCGTGAAAAAGAAGGGGTAGGAGGAGGCACGTCGGTGTCCATCGAGGGTGTCGTCTCTGCATTACAGATGGAGATAGTGTCTAACATTTCAGCTGTTAAGGAAGCTGACGATACCATGATGTCAGAGACAGGAGAGGTAGAGCAAGTAGAGGTCTGAGGGGGACAAGGAGTATGAACCTCGAGAGATGCGTTGGCATGGGCAGAAGAGTCTTGCAGTGTAACAGGAGAGAAAGGAGGTTGGAAGAGAACTATGGAAGAAGACGGGGGGGGGGAAGGGAACAGGAGAAGAGGGGACTACACAAAGGGGGGGGTGAACCTCCACCTTCGTGTGAGAGTTGGAAAAGGGGTGAGAACTAGGCCCAAAGGTAGAAGATAAATTCAACTTTACAGGTGATAGACGTGAAGTGTAGGTCTGTGAGGTCAAGTAGACTGAGAAGCGAGCGAGTGAGATGAAGAAGTAGAAGGAGGAAGAGGCATGGAGGTAGAAGTTTCAGGGAATAAAACTGCAAAACAATTAGAAACAAGGGTGACCCTAGAAAACATAATCGCAGAGGGATTGGGAGGTGAGAGGACCGTCGAGGCTGGAGGTCTTCAGGCTACTCGAGCATATGGGACACGAGGAAGTTTACCCTGAAGGCAATGCTGAGAGACAGCCATAGCTTAAGTAAGGCCCTCACGCTCCTTAAGATACCAGATCTCTCGTTCATTACGATAGACTTGACAACAGTGTGAAAAAGAGGAGATTCATTGCAACTGAGACAAGAGGGGGGAAGACTATAAGACATACTGGAATGATCTGTTGCACCGCAGACCAGGTATTCCATCGTAGATCTGTAGTATTTAGTGGTATGTCCAAAACGCCAGCAATTACGACACTGTTGGGGAGTGGGGACTACTTTATGGACCTCTAGGCGATGGCCTGCAATATAGAGGATGGTAGGCCATGCAGTCGAAGGTTAAGCAGGCAATGTTACTAAAAAAGCACCTCCACCCATGAGCAGGCAGGACATATGTACAGTGGAACCTCAAATTTTGAACGTATCGCTTATCGAAATCTTCGAAAATAGAACCCTTTTTTCAAACCAACTTTGTCCGTATTATCGAACTCGCCCCTATTTTCGAACTGCCGGGTGTCGGACCTGTCCGGCAGCCTGCTCTGTCTGCGTCCCAACGCAGGCACCTTGAGCCAGTCTGGTTTTGTTGATGCTTGAGTGAACACTAACCTGCGCTTTCATACAAACATTTCACGATTATTTCATTGTCTTTAGTGCTTGTGGGACTGTGAAATAAGCTACAATGGGCCCAAAGAAACTTGCTAGTGGTACCCCTGTGGTAAAGAGAGTGAGAAACATTATAGATGTGAAGAAGGAAATAATACAGAAGTGGAATGATGTCCAAATGTTTGTGGAGAAGTAACACCCTGAGCAAGCTGAAACAAGCCATCTTTGCAACAAGTTCAGTGACAGAACCATGTCCCATTTTAGGGAAATCTTAAAGAGGCACCAGAAACAGAGGACTGTGGACAGTTATTTTGTGGGACAGGGGTCCAGTGACTCTCAAGCTGGTCCTAGTGGCATTAAAAGACAGAAGGGAAGTAACCCCAGAGAGGGCTTTGATACCTAAAGTCCTCATAGAGGGGGATTCTCCTTCCAAACACTAACCCCAACTCCCTCTCTCCTCCTCCCTATCTTCCAGATGCCATCTCCCATCTTCAATAAAGGTAAGTAAAATGTTATTTTATATGTTTATTTAAATTTATTAACACATAATTGAACGCTATATTTCTTGTGTGCATGTAAAACTATAATTAATCTCTATGAAAAGTTTTTTTTTTTTTGTGAATATTTTTGAGTTTCTGAAACGGATTAATTTTATTTCCATTATTTCTTATTTGAAATACTGTTTTGCTTTTCAGACTTTTCGAATTTAGAACTAACTCCTGGAATGAATCAAGTTCGATATTTGAGGTTCCACTGTATCTACCTTAAGAACAAAATGGTCCTGAAGGGCTAATTGTTCTAAAATATCATCACTGGAAGGCAAAAAAATCACTCTGTACAATGGTATGCTTTAAGATCACAATACCACTACAAGAATTGAGAGTAGCGCATTCACGAAAAGTGACTGGTATGTTATCTGTTGAAATGATATGGGAGAGAGCATGAGCTTGTTCTGAATTCTGTACTGTTACGACACACACACACACACACACACCGCTTTGAAGAGCGTGGATGGATATATTTTGGCCAATGTGCCATAAAAGAGCTCTAACAATTCCATGATCAGAAAGGTAATCAGTTTGAGACGTTCTTTGTAAGGAAAAGAATTTAATCCATTGTGTACTTGTAAACCCGGTACACAAAGGTAGTGAGTGTCGCATAGGTTATTTTTGAGCAGACCTGGAAGGGCAGACTGACCTGAGGGAGGTGAGCGATCCAAAAACCGTCGTACCATATTCGGGGAAGCCGGACCCATGGTTAAAGGCGTCCAAGAAGCAGTGGCATAAGCAGAAATGGGTGGCACCTCAGCACCTGGAGCAGGTGACGGAGTGTCACCGGCAGAAGGTACTGAGGTATGAGAAGAGTCTTGAGAATGGTCCAATAATGTAGATGGGTCAGAACAAGGTGTGGAATCAGAAAGGGGCCTGGAAGGAGGAAGGGTTTCACTGACCAAAGACCTGAGCAGACTCCATAATAAAGGTGTTTCTCCTGTGTAATCTCCTTTCTTGTTATTTAAAAAGAGAAAGATGGAAAGAATAAAAGAGTGACAGCGGAGGGACAGTAATTAGGAGGCATGGAAGGGCCGGAAATTCATCCCCTCATCCGAAAAGGCCTCAAGCCCACTGGCAGTGAAGATGCAGCGTGGAACCCGTGCCATACCCTACCCTTCATGCCGGTAAACCAGTGCTCTGGGATAACAGCCTCACATCTACCGAGCCATCTTGGCGGACTAAAGAAAGGGCAGTCGGAAACCTGCCACAAAGCATACCACCTCCGGCTCCCATCTCCCAGAACCAACAGGCAGCTTCGGGAGATACACCCATTATCTGAAAGGCACCCAGCCCACTTCTCGGAAATCCTGGAAGGGAGCAGGGCACCTTCAGACAATTCAGATTTCACAGCAAACCACACCACCCCCAAGGGACCTTACAGAGTGGGATGAACTCTAGCACACTTCCCCCTACCTAGAAACTGTAATGCCAGTGGGGAGGACCCCAGAGACTACAAATGAGAGGAAGAAAGGGGAGGGTTGGAAGGGGGAGGAAAGAGGGGAAAAAAGGGGGGATGTGGAGGGTGGGATAGGGAAGGGGGGATTGGAACGTACTTAGGTTCGGTGTGAGGAAGTAGGCCAAATGGTTTAATTCCTTAGACCAAGAGCCTCTTTGCCAGGTCAAAGAGCCCCCTCCCCCTTGAAGAGGTTATTTTAAAGAAAAAGATAGAAGGACATTGGAGGAACAGTCACTAGAAAGCATGGAAGGGCTTTAGGTTCTTCCATTCTTCCGAGAGGGTCTCGAACCCACGAGCAGTGCAGATGCAGCATGGAACCTGTGCCACTCCCTACCCTATACGCCAGCAAACCAGCGCTCCAGGATAGCAACCTCACATCTACTGAGCCAAAGAGAGGGCGGTTGGAAACCCGCCACAAAGTATACCTCCTTCGACTCTCGCCTTCCAGAACCAACAGGCAGCCTCTGGAGGTACACTTATCTTCTGCAGGACACCCTCCCCACTTCTCGGAGATTCGGGAAGGATGCAGGGCACTTCCACGCAATTCAGATTCTATGGCAAACACCACTCCTGAGGGACTCCATGGAGTGGGATGAAACCCAGCACACTTCCCCCTACCTAGAAACCGTAATGCCAGAGGGAAGGACCTCAGAAACTAGAAATGGGACAGAGAAAGGGGAAGGATGGCAGAGGGGAGGAAAGGGGGAGAAAAAGGGGGGGATGGGGAGGATGGAATAGGGAAGGGAGGATTGGGGGGCACTTAGGTTCGGTGTGAGGTAGGAGACCAAAGGGTTAAATTCCTTAGACCAAGAGCCTCTTCGCCGCATCAAGGAGACCCCCGTTGAAGAGGAGTTTATAAATAACTCAGTAGCTCTCCAAGTTGAATATCTGATTGTTTGGCAGGTCTCCTGTTTTTATGAAGGGAATAAAACGGAAAGGCAGATTTCATCAGCATACCAGAACATAACCAATGTTATGATAAGAGAAAGAGGCTTAGCGTATATAACGTGGGATTTGTTACCCAGTAATACTTACAAGAGTGGTACGCAAATGATCGGGAAACAAAAAAAAAAAGAAAAAAGGACGTAAATGTCCAGGAATGCCATTGACCGAGACACAATCATCGAGGACACAAATACACTAGTCCTTTATTCCACTGCATTATAATGCTGAATAAAGGAGTAAAATTTCGACGATTAATGAAACGCCCAAGACACACAAACTTCTTGATCAAGTAAAGGTGACTCAGTTTCATGAAAGGAGAGATGAACTTGCTAGTTATCATCATATGATATAGAAATATCAGGCACCAACGTCCCTGATATTTCTAACTCAAACGAGCAATATTTTCGCGTTCGACTGACATTAACTTCAATATTTAACAGCATTATATCAACAGAAAATATTCATCTGCTAATGTATATCTGAACTGTAACTAAATATTTTGCATACTATAAAACTGTAAAATTCTAAAGGAGAATATTGAATAAGAATAAAAATAAATTGCAGGTACGACAGGCAGTGCCCATAACCCGTCCTTTAAAGTCTTCACGGTTGACGGTGGACATCAGGACGCAACTTGGGTTTGTACAACCAGTTTGGATTCCAGTCCAATTATTACATATCACTTATTTTTTTTATAAAATAGTTTGAGTTTATTTTTTAAATTATGTGTAACAATAAGGTATTTTAATTACCTAATTTAGCATAACTAGACGCATAATACAATTAACCAATTAGCTAATGTCAGAACAATAAATAAATATTTTAATGTAATGGGAAATAACTGGTACAAGAAAATGGCCTTAACTGTGCCAGATAAATTCAACAATGAATCAGTTCCAATTTGCTGTAGCTAAACAGGTCAGCAAAAGTTTATATATTACTAATATAGACCCTTAGGTTAACATATCAGCACTACACACTTACATTTTCTGAGCACATTCAGTTATGTTTATTTATCTCTGAATATTTGCTGTATCATGAAACAGGGATGTCATGTTTGGAAGTTAATATATTTATTAAATTGAGAAATTTAATTCTTTAATATTATAATCATAACTAAGCGCTAAACCCACAAGCGATATGCAGTTCTAAATTTATTGTTGACACATTTTTACTTACATGTTTCATTAACGCGTCCTCTGTTCAATTGTTATTCTAAAGAATTATTATTTTGATCAACACTGTCATATACTTGTACCATTTTATTCTGAATTAATTCCATGATAATTTTATTAATTGATTATCTTTTTCTGAATTTTGAAATATACATACATATTATATATATATATATATATATATATATATATATAAATATATATATATATATATATATATATATATATATAATATATATATATATATATATATATATATATATATATATATATATATATATATATATATATATGCAGTCGACAGTTTATAAACCTGACGTAAATAAGTGTTTTAGAGTTCAAAAACGTTTGAATCTTCAGTACCTAAAGACAGTTAAAGTGCCAGTAGTCAGCAAATAACTACCATCTCAGTACCAGCTTTCTTGATGCAAAAACTTAATTAACAAATATACAAAATGATGGAAAAGAGTTTATTACTAAATGACGTATTAGTAACACAAATTAAGCAGATACTAATTGGCTTAAATTTCCAATGCATTTTTTACTTAAATTTTAAAAATGATTTCAGTCAGTGATAGACGTGGAAACATACAACATGAACCTGACAGAGGCCAATATGGAGGGCGGCACTCCGGATTTCAGTCTCAGGTTTGATGATCTTGCACTCCAGTGTCAAATTAACTCTGATATAATACGTAACATAATATTTTCGCATGTATTACGTTACCAAAGTATTTACGTAATGGCTTAATTTGTCACAGAACACATGTGAACTTTTGAAACATTCTCATTCGCACTTGAAAAAATGTCTTTCACAGGTACTCAACACAAGAATCCTATGGTATAACATCTTTGACTCCAGCTAGTATTGACCAACTTGTTTTAAATATGGCTACCGATGAAAGTCTTTTCAAAAAATATGAATTGTAAGTATATAAATCCCTTTTTCATGAATTAGTAATTGTGAAATAATTTTTGAGTTCCTTCAAGTAATTTTTTCCTGAACTATAAAAAATATAATAACCTGTATTTTTGACAGCCCAGGCTAAAACATTACACAGTTTACGTCAATAATGTATTTACATTATTAACCTTAATTCAACTAGTTATCGAACAGTCATTGATTTATGAATTAGATTTATAAATCTGGTGTGAATGTAAGATATGTCTAAAGAAGAGAAGGAAGAGGTTCTGACAGAGGCGTTAAAAAGAGACTTGAATATACAAAAATCATGTTTATCTTGTTTACATGAAATGCTCTACGTTGTGCATTAGGAATGCGAGAAAGGTGAAAGAATTCACAGGAATTGCATCCCAAGAGCAAATTCGTTAATGAGGTGGAGTGATTGCAATATTTTTGGATGCCTTGAGCTGCACTGGCTGGGTCATCCTTCACCAGGATGTCCATGACTTAATGTGCTGTGTATATAGATCCATCTACTTTAGTTCACCTGGACGTTGCGACAGTCTCTGGAACTGCAGCCTGCTGGAGGGAGCCCACTACACTGGGTGATTTGACTCTGGCCCTGTTTATCAATCAATTGGTCATGTATTGTCCTTTACTATCTGCCAGTGATTTGGGTAGTGTTTGAGAGTCTAGCAGGTCAGTTGTTTCTTTCGAGATCCGCTTATGCGAATCGGGCAAGAACGGGGGAGCTTACACTGTGGATTGATAAACTTCTCGTTGGAGTGAAAATACTCTTATACTCTTGTGGCTGCTCCTAATTCCTCTGGCGGTTATTTGTGTAGAAGACTAAGATATTTTAAATGTTATTATCCAAGGATAACTAAAGAATACCATGCAGATTAATTTATTTTCGTTAATTTTCTTCTGTCTTTCTTTAGCAGGTGACCGACAACATCTAAGTAATTGCAAGGTGCTGCATCTATTTACAGTTAGCTCACCATATTAAACGCGTGTAAGGAGACCTGCCTTTGGATCTCGTCCTATCCAAGAATCACACCAAGGGCTTCTCGGTTGTGTGCCGAATGCTCTACCACCAAACTATGCTTCACTTGAGGCCGATAGTGTGTACATACTCACCTAATTGTGGTTGCAACGGTCGATCCACAGCCCTTAGCCACACCTCTTCACTGGTCGCTACTTGGTCACTCTCCTTATTCTATGAGCTTTATCATACCTCTTCCTAAAGCTATTTATGGATCCTGCCTCTGCTACATCACTTTCTAGACTATTCAACTTCCTGACAACTCTCTGACTGAAGAAATACTTCCTAACATCCCTGTGACTCATCCGAGTCTTTAGCTTCCAATTTTGACCCTTTGTTGCTGTGTCCCATGTCTGGAACATTCTGCCTCTGTCCACCTTGTCGATTCCTCTCAGTATTTTAAATCATATCCTCCCTATATCTCCTGTCCTCCAGTGTCGTCAGATCGAGTCCCCTTAACCTCTCCTCGCAGGACATTCCCCTTAGCTCCGGGACTAGCCTCGTTGCAAACCTTTGCACTGTCTCTAATTTCCTGACATACTTGGCTAGGTGTGGGTTCCAAACTGGTACTGCATACTCCAATATGAGCCTGACGTATATTCTTAAGTTTGCTAGCTGCCCATATGCTGCAGTAATTATTTGGTTGATTTGCACCTCAGGAGATGTGCTCGGCATTATACTCACCCCAAAATGCTGCGTGCCTTCATTTGCGTTCATCGTCAACGTGGGAATGGAAAGATGACGATTTTATTGCTTTCTTGATGATTACTTGCTCTTATCCTGGAATTCTAGAGGAAGGCAACTAGTCTTTCATGTCTCATTATTTTGGAAGATGGGACTGAACCCAATCTCCTCAAGATGTTTTCACGCTCGGTAGTTTCAGTTCGTCTTCCAGCTTTTCCATTATTTATGCATCTCTTCATAGTTCACATGTTTTGACGTGTAGAAGCTACCAAATGGTCTCCCAGTTTTTTTTAATTTTCTCAGGGGCTATATTGATCTGCAGGCTTTCCTTAGTTCAAATCAGTCCGGGAAGCCACTTTGCTTCATTTTAGATCTCATAGTGATGAGCCCAATACCATAACGTGTTATACATGATTAAATTTAACCTTGTAGAGATGCCAGAGTATGGTTACATGGCCAGATAATGTATATGACCGTAGCCATAACACCTATACCATTTAACCTTCATTTTACAGTTACAGGTCATCATATGGATATTCTCTGAGGATATTTTGCCCTTTTGGTTGAGAACCCGCAATAGTCCGCAATAGATCCATCTCTATCATCCCAACGGCACCACCTGCAGCTTAGCTGCAGGCGGTGCCGTTGCACCAGTGACTACATTTCATGTAGATACAGTACATTCATTTGTAATACATGTTTACCTTTGCTGAACGACACCTTGTTAAAATGGATGACCTCTCGACTTCAGGAAGGATACTGGTGATGTCACTTCATTTTCTATGATTTCTTTTCTTATTAACCTCTCGAGTTTGCTTTATTGTTTTTAACACTTTTTTGATATACTGTTTCGTCTGTGCTCCGGTCACTGATAATGTTTACCCAATTTTATTTTAATATTACAAAGATGTGCACTCAGTACTAACTTGTTTCTAATCAGCATCAATGTGCTTATATTACCTCATGATTATAATAGTGTCGTCCATGTACAGGGACGATTTTGTCATTGTTTGTGCTGATACAGGCCGATTAAGCCTTTTCACACATATTCAAGTTATCGATCTCCATAAATGATCTATTATCTTCCACTCTTCTATCAATTCCTATATTTTTTTTTTTTAACTTTTTTCATGTCGGACTGTTGAATTCGTTGGGTCTGTCATCGATTTGTCAGAAAATATTGCAGTCTTTTCCTAAATGTTGTGTGTCATGAGTCTATAATGCAGTATTTCCCTTGTAAAGTCGAGAAGGGTTAATCACGTCTCTAATTTACCATGAAAATACTGCATTACCTACCTAAATACTGTGTTATGTCTCTGTAAAAGTTTTAGCCTTTTACCGCCTTCACATGTAAACACTGCATTCCTTCCTTATTGCTGTGTGTCATAAATCTTACAGGTTCACCCTTCACCACCGTGCCATGAAATAGAATAGAGTTATTGTCTAATATTTTTAGTTATTTATGTCAAATAATTTAGTAACTCCATTAATTATTTCAGGAATACACAAAATACATGGTCAGATATACCTGATGACTGGAGCTGTGACAAAGATTGTTACAAAGGAAGTCTGTGTAGGCTTGTCACAGGTGATTCCTCAAACCATGAGCCATGTGATCGCATCAGCGCTGTTATTGATGGACTTCAACGTTAGAAGAAATGAAGATATACTTCATCAAAATGTGGCATTCCTAGCATCATGAAAATGGAGTTTAAAAATTTTGAATTGCTTTTTCAATAATGAAAAAAATCAAGACAGAAGTTTATTTCATATTTTTATAGAATTATTGGGAAATATTCATATTACATTTAATTTATTTCATGATAATTCAGAATAAAAATGCATGTTGACTATTAAACAAAATTAATTGAATGTATTATTCAGAACTATTTTAATTATATTATTTACTTGTGCAATTATCTTATTTTTATCACAACACATTAATGAAAAACGAAATTTCCAACTGAATACGTCTACATAATTATAATTTTTATTAACAAGGTTCATATTAATTAGTATATACTTTAAGCAAAATATTTTCACAGATGAGAAGAATAATTCCTTTTAGTTACTTGTTTTAGGTTCCTGAGATCATGGCTCCTTCAGCTGGGTGTAGAACCAGACCTCATAACTGAAGTCTGAATGCGAAAGTTTTTGTAATTTTAGCAACTTTAAATAGGTCCGTTAATATCTAAGACAGAAGGCAGTAATAAAAAAGAATGAATTATCATATGGGCAAGGGTCGTGAATGGAGTCTTTTGAGGATCAGGGCTGGTTTTGAATTATGTGGAATTAATGATTAAAATGACAGTCAGTGAAGGCTAAGATAAGCTCCGAGATGACTGGAATGGGCTGCGAGACGTTTTTGAGAAAACAAGTGAGAACAGGCTCTACAGAAATCGATTAAGGTAAACCATATGAAAGTAAAAATCACTCTAGAGAATATCAGTTGAGACACATACCAAAAGTTTAATTTCAGAAGCATACACAAAATTAGGTAACGAGAAATGCTTTCAGGAACCGTAACACAGATTAATTTATAGCATTACTGTCCTAGTATTAGACTCATCTTGAATTCAGCCATGTCACCCTCATCCACATTGAATATGACAAAAAAAAAAAGTATTTAAGAAGAGTATTTAAGAAAAAACTTATCGCAATTAAAAAATTGCCAAAATTGAATTATATGGAATAGAAGTTGAAACTTTAGGAAATTAGAAAGAGTTAATAAGGACAGGCTCATGACACGCGACTAGAGGGAGACAGATCACACAACTTGCACAAATAAATACTTTTAAACCATACTTTTCAACCAAATGCTTGTTTACTCTTAGGATTACAAGTTAGTAGAATGTAACTGACACAGGTTAGTAAGATACCATACATAATTTTAAAAGAAAATATGACAAGGGAATGAAGGCAAAATAATTAGTATAGTCAGTCGAGTAATGAGGTTAATTTTCAGGGAAGTTACTTTTTAAGGGAGGTTCCTGGATACTCGTGCAAATAATTGAACCGTTTGTCTCCTTCCATGGGCTTAACCTGAATCTTTTCCACTCCCTCTGATTTTCTATTATCCCTATAGCTGAAGGCCTTCCCTTACATTTAAGTATAACGAGAGGTATTTCGGTCGCTGTGATATTCAAGGAAGGTATTAGCGTAATCCCTAAGTCAAACCTCCTCTCCATCATTGCACTCAAAAAAGAATAGTTGAAGCAGGTTACAAATTTGCAACTGCACAATATATAAATGTGTGTTACCGTCTCTAAACGTTTGTGTGGATTGATTTTAGAATAAAAGTGAACTTTCATATTATATATATATATATATATATATATATATATATATTATATATATATATATAATATATATATATATATAGCATATGAGAGATTTTTACGAAGTGGAAGTGATGCAAGGAGGGAAGAGTATATGGAGAGAAAAAGAGAGGTTGTAGAAAATAAGAACAAGTTTTGGAGTGAGATTAATAAGTTGAGGAAGCCTAGGAAACAAATGGATTTGTCAGTTAAAAATATGAGAGGAGAGTTATTAAATGAAGAGTTAGAGGTATCGGGAAGATGGAGGGAATATTTTGAGGAATTGTTAAATGTTGATGAAGTTAGGGAAGCTGTGATTTCGTGTATAGGGCAAGGAGTAATAACATCTTGAAGGAGTGAGGAAGAGCCAGTTGTGAGTGTGGGGGAAGTTCGTGAGGCAGTGGGAAGAATGAAAGGGGCTAAGGCACCTGGGATTGATGGGATAAAGATACAAATGTTGAAAGGAAGTGGGGATATAGTTTTGGAGTGGTTGTTGCTATTATTTAATAAATGTATGGAAGAGGGTAAGGTACCTAGGGATTGGCAAAGAGCATGCAGAGTTCCTTTGTATAAAGGCAAAAGGGGTAAGAGTGCAAAATTTATAGGAAAATAAGTCTGTTGTGCTTACTTGGTAAAGTGTATGGTAGAGTTGTTATTGAAAAAAATAAGAGTAAGACAGAGTAGGTTGTTGAGGTGGTTCGGACATGTAGAGGGAATGGAACAAAACAGAATGACTTCGAGAGTGTATAAATCTGTAGTGGAGGGAAGGTGGGGTAGGGATTGGCCTAGGAAAGGTTGGATGGAGGGGGTAAAGGAGGTTTTGTGTGCGAGGGGCTTGGACTTCCAGCAAGCATGCGTGAGCATATTTGATAGAAGTGAATGGAGGCAAATTGTTTTTAATACTTGACGTGCTGTTAGAGTGTGAACAAAGTAATATTTATGAAGGGATTCAGGGAAATTGGCAGGACGGACTTGAGTCCTGGAGATGGGAAGTACAGTGCCTGCACTCTGAAGGAGGGGTGTTAATGTTGTAGTTCATAACTGTAGTGTAAAGCACCCATCTGGCAAGACAGTGATGGAGTGAATGATGATGAAAGCTTTTCTTTTTCGGGCCACCCTGCCTTGGTGGGAATCGGTCAGTGAGTTAATAATAATATATATATATATATATATATATATATGCAAAACAACCACTGTGAAAGAATAGAGAAATTCCAAGCGCTTTCGTGACTACTCACATTATCAAGGAACAATTGTTCCTTGATAATGTGAGTAGTCACGAAAGCTCTTGGAATTTCTCTATTCTTTCACAGTGGTTGTTTTGCATATTCTGAAATCACCTGTTTACTGTGATCTTATTGCACACACACACACACACACACACACACACACACACACACACACACACACACACACACACACACACATATATATATATATATATATATATATATATATATATATATATATATATATATATATATATATATATATATATATATGATGGGGTTCATCTCTGGTGTTAATTGAGACCCTTAGCCTCGGAGGGGTGAATAAAAGGGCTTCAAGGAAGAATATTTGGATTTCTTCCTAAAAGCCATTTGAATATTCCACTTCCCCTACTATCCCATCTTTTCATTCTTTTTTACCAATAATTATATTTTCTTACACAACGTAATTTAAGGGGGGGGGGGGAAAGAACGTTTTTGCCTCTTTTTCTTTGTTTTCTCTCTAATTTTAATGAATTTTTCCCTGTGTTTCAAGCAGCATTTGAAACCTAGACAACGTGTTTCTTTTCACTTTTTTTCTTTAAAGTTAGATAGAAAAAAAAATAAAATTGTTATATTCTTACACCATTCCTGTTTCTACAAATTTGTTAAGTTGTACAATGTTCTAATTGACATCAGACGAAAGATAATGAGCTAGATAATCATCGAGCAGAAGGGGATGAGCCAAATGTTAATAAATTGCATTATACAAAATATTGAAATTTGCTGTTTTTTTTTTTGAGGAAAATAAAATCCATAAAACAAAACGTTAATACATATCACAAATGCCTTCTCTAGCTTTATAGAACCATCACTCCTCAATAACGTGTGAGAAAATCATGATGCTCCTATAAAAAGTCTTCGCAGGAGAAGGAAAATAACATCAATAACTTATTTCTGGGTTATTAAATAACAAAAAGGCACAATACCGTGACTGGAACGATGCACAAATAATCCGCACATAAAAGAGAGAAGCTTACGACGACGTTTCGGTCCGACTTGAACCATTTACAAAGTCACACTAACCAGAAGTGGAGCAGGACGGCTATAAATAGGCAGGAAGAGGTGGTGGTAGTAGTAGTAGTAGTAGTAGTACAAGAATGGTATATAATACCGACAAGATGAAATTAAGACACATGCGCAACACCCGGGCATCTCTATCGTAGACGTTTCGCCATCCAGCCAGCCACTGGATGGCGAAACGTCCACAACAAAGACACCCAGACACCGTACATGTTTCTTAATTTCATCAGTAGCAGTAGTAGTAGTAGTAGCAGTAGAAGAAGAGGTAGTAGTAGTGGTAGTGGTAGAAGTGGGGAATAGGGAGGACGAGCCAGTCAATTACAAAGGAAGGGGAGCACTTCAAGGGAGCTAGGTGCCCACAGAGGGGGAGCAAACGCACAGAGGTGCGTGAAAGGGGAAGTGGTGAAATAAATGAAGAAGGAACAGAAACACGAGACAGAAGAGAGAAAGACAACCCAGAGGAGAAAAAGGAAAGAGGAAAGGGGAAGAGGGAGAAGAAGAAAAAGAAAAAGAAAAAATGAGGAGTCAGGTTAAGTCACGGGTGTTCTGAAGTTTGGAGCATTTTACAATGTAGTGGGAGAGGAAGGCATCTACAGAGACGAAGCCATGGCTAAGATTCATACAAGGAATTAGAGAGGATTCAACTAGACGGCGACTGTTCGAGTTGGAAGTAGGGAAGACAGTTTTAGCAGAAGACCAGTCAATAGGATGGCATTGTTAGTGTCGGCAAGCCTAACACTATTTTTGTGCTCCCTAAGTCTGTCAGAAAGAGATCGACCAGTTTCTCCTAAGTATTGAAAAGGACAGGAGGAGCAAGAAATAGAATAGACACCAGGAACATCTGTAGAGGGAGGGGAGTTATGAACGAGATTAGTGCGAAGAGTGTTAGTCTGGCGGAAGGTAAGCTTGATGTCTAAGGGACGGAGAGAATTGTTGAAATTAGAAAGACCGGAAATGTAGGGAAGGCAGAGGATAGAAGAGTTCCCAGGAGTAGAGAGTTTGGGAGAGAAGAAATTACGTTTAGCACGTGAGAGGGCAGAGTCTATGAAATGGGAAGGGTAGCCAAGACGGGAAAACGAATTATGAAGAGTGGAAATTTCTGCTGGAAGGAACTGAGGATCACAGATGCGGAAGGCACGGAGAAAGAGGGAGATAAGAACACTTTTCTTGACAGGGAAAGCATGATAGGAAAAGTAGTGAATGTACATGCCACTGTGCATAGGTTTTCGGTAAACGGAAAAGGAAAAACCTGTATCTGAGCGGTGGACATGGACATCAAGGAAAGGAAGCAAGGAATTAGATTCCCAT